ATGTAAATCAGCTGGTGTCCTATCTGGTCACAGTACCCTGGTTTGTTTCACGCAGCCCCCCTACGCTTGCTGCACCAACTGCCCCTGTGATTGGCCGCATTTTGTCGAGGCTGGAGGAGAGCATCATGAGCATCAGCGTGTGTTCTTTCCGGTCACGCGCTCCCTCAGGCTCCAGACGAGGTAAGGGACATGTAAATCAGCGGGTGTTTTTTGGTGACAGCCCCCCGGGCCCGGATCAGATGCCAATGCTTGTTTCACGCAGCCCCCCTAGGCTCCAGACACTTGCTGCGCTGAGCCCCTGGCTGGAGGAGAGCATCATGAGCCATCAGCAGTGTCCTTTTCGGCACGCAGTGCCTCCCTGGGCTCCAGATGCTTGCTTCTGCTGCCGCACTTGACGAAACTGGAGGTGCCAATCAGCGGGTGTACTTTCTGGTCACAGCCCCCCTCACCTCCAGATGTTTGCTGCAGCAACTGAGTATCATGAGCAGCAGCAGGCTGCCCCGCGATAAAGGGGTTTTGGCGCGCAGCCATATCGGATGCCGTTCTGACGGTAGAGGCAAGCGGAGAGGGAAGCCGAAGAAAATTTTGACGATGGCACCCACTCAACCACATGCGGCTGCATGGGCGGGGGCAGCCACCAGCTTGTTCAGCACCAGCGTGCTGCTGACTCAACTTTCCACTCGCCGTGGAAGAGTTAGTGGGGATTAGTAGGTTTACAAAACCTGCTGCTGCAGTGTCAAAACGTGGAAAAGAGACTGCATGCACAACGCTCACCGAGTGGCAAGAGCCAAGCAAGGGGTGTGTGCAAACCAGGACCTAAAGGGCCTATAACAGAACCACAAGAATGTGGAAACAAGCTCTGAGAAGCCGACGGAGGAGAGGGCACGAGGATCGGGGAGGTTGGCGGAGGACGGCAGCCGTACGGCGGGGAGGGGAGTCTGAGACATTAGTGCACGTGGCGCACGGTTAACTTCCAGGTCGCAAGGGCATGCGCATCAGGGAAACAGCTGTGCTGTTGTGCGCGCACACCGCATCTCCTCAGCACGCAATAAGACATGTGCGGCCTGCCGCTGCGACTGTAGCAGCACCTTGTAGACTTCTTGCATGCCTAGATGCTTAGTGGCCCGACACCTTTCAAGGCAAACATAAGCAGAGCTGGATTCACAGTGCCATGTCATGTCTTTGCATGACGTTGCTAAGTACTAGAGATGCTTTTTGTAAATCCCGCCCCACTTGTCAGCCTCGGCTACACTCCCACCCCCCCCCCCCACCCCACCGGGCATGGCTGTGACGAGAAAGGCTCACTTGACCAAAGCTCCTTCACAATCTGAGACCTTGTCCACAGGAAACGAACTACGCTACTACCGCTAGCACGCTTCAACGGAGTATAGCTGCACGGCTTGCAGGGTCCAAGACTCTTTCACTGTGGGTATGCATGGCGCGGGCCGACATCGACATCCATGACTTGAGATGTGGGCGAGCATGGGCGAGCCTTGGATTACAAGTTTCCATAGGCCGATGAGCAACTTCAAAGCTTACGTGGTACATGAAGACTGGTGGATGGGGTGTTAATCCCCTGCATTCCGGCACCTATCCTAGGCGCAACCCATGGTTAAAAACAAGCCATTGCACGCAAGAGTTGATGTAGCAACCGCTAGCCACCCACTTGGCCTTCTCTCAACCAACAATTAACAATGGCATCAACGTATTTTTCAGAGAGAAGCCTTTCCGTCCCTATCCTGAGGACCGCTTTGGGAACCTTGAGGAGAGCCGTGATGCAAATGCCCCAGTGGGGCGGTGCTTGATGGCACATGTCAGGCGCCCCTCATGTGTAGAAAACGTGTCCCAGCCAAATAAGGGAATAAGATAGAGATTTCTAATACTAAATCCTGTTAATGGGGAAAGCACAATGAGAGTCATGTGTCCGCCCGTGAGCTCCTTTCATGCGTTTCATGCGTCATAAATTCCTTATAAACGCATTCTATTCACTCACTGTCTTCATGTTCACCACTCTGGGCTTTTCAGGAGATAATAGGGTGAGTGAGCTGTCAACCAATCTCAGGACTTAGCACATGATTCCAAGGCTTTGTCATGAACGTAACCCCCATTAATACTATGTGGTCATTGGTTTACAAGAGGGCTTTTAAGGGTCTTATTGCACGCTACGTTCATTCCATTCGCTTCGCTTGTCTTTTATCACGAGCGAATAATAGTACACCTGTTGGATCTTGCGGCCTGCCAGCCCTCCCTGGTGGCCTCTTTTGCCTCATCACTCTTTGCAGAGAGTGTGCTCAGGGCACATGAAGGAATACACATGTGTGGGCGGAGAAAGTACCTCGCTGCGAAAGCCCAAACAACATGTAGTGGATGAGAGCCGCCCTTGAAAATCTGCGAACCACTTGCAAGGGTCGATTTTCCAGTTCTGTCTGCCACTGCTTCCTACTGCTTCTAGGCAGGTGTCAAGCCAGTCGGCGGGAAGCGAATGGACAGACCATCCCCCGAACCTCGGCAGACATCAGTTCACAGGCGTTACACGGGAAGGAACTGCTTCTGGTAGCACTTGGGATTGTAGCCAGCCATAGCCGCAGCCAGCCCCCACCGTGTTTCGGTCCATTTGGCCATTCCAGCGATTTCAAGCCCCAAACCAGGCCGGGAATCCGGTTTTTCAAGCCTTGGAGGCCCCAAGAGCTCCAAAAACCGGATTCCCTCACTGTTTTTTTGGCAATCTGACCATTCCAGCGATCTCAAGCCCCAAACCAGGCTTTCGTGTGTCTTTTTGTGGTGGGTCCAAGTCTTTTTTGACGGGGTGTCGGATGCAGGTTGCCGTGGGTACAAGACGGTACAAGTGTTCAAGAAATGGCGGGGTTACAGGCCCCCTCTCAGTTTCTGCCGCAGAGGACGCCGCACGGTAAAATCAATCAGCGGAGTAGAGGGGAACAACATATTTCTCAGGTATTTGGCAATTTGTATGCTCCGGTGTCTTGCCCAGTGGTTCAGGTGACCTGGCTTCCTCTCTCTTGGGACTGAGAAGGCTCGGCCTGAGTAGTGGCTCAGAAGAGGTTAAAATCATGGGTCTATCCCCATAGCTGCAGACCTTGAGCGCCTTGAAGAATGGCACCCCCTCTGTAATCCCTTCGGAATCAGAACTGGGTGCTCGGTAGGCGGGTGGGCAGCATGGTGTTGGGTGGAAAGGAAGTTAGACGTCTAGTGTGGAAGGCGCGGGTCAACGTGAATCTTCCTCCTCGAAGCTCTTGGGAGATGCCTCCAACCACAAACCTGCGGAGAACCACGAAAGACAAGCGTGCCCAGAACGGCCAGTCTTGCCTCCAGCATCCGGTTGACCGGGGCCAGAAATGCCAGAAGAAGACTTAGCATCCTCTAGTGCAGGCTATGGAAGTACAAGAGAGCGCGCATTCATGACCGAGAGTTTGCTGGATGATGCAACACAACTGGGTGATGCAACACAACTCTGATGCCTCGGACCTCCTCCAAGCCCCTTGCCTGCTAGTTTCCTTATCCACGACTCCTTCAACTCCGAAAAGGCTGTTTCCCTGCCACAGAATGCTCGCGTCTATTTTGCAACCCGCTTACGCCGAAAACACTTTGGGGCATTTGGGTCCTAGTTTAGTACAGGTGCCTGCAGTGTTGATTTGGAAAGAGTCATGTTGGGTGGAGCCAAATTCCTTCAATAAATAAATCCTTTCAGAGCAAGGCTTCTCGTGCAAATACAGCAACTTGTCAACAACAATTGATGTTTGTTTCCGTTCTTGGCGAGTCTCGGGGTCATTTTCCGGACTCGGAATCCTTCCAATACTACGAACTGAGCTACGTCGACCTTACAAGTCCAACGCCCCTTTGAGGACTTAGCAAAATGCCCCTTGATTAGCACAAGTGCGCTGCTTTCCAGGTTGGACTCAAAGGCCTAATATTCTTATCTTGAAGAAAATGTTAGTGCAGTGTCTGCTCATGCATTGTAGTGTATTGGAGATTTTCAAAACATTGGGACCGGCCGGCAATCCAACAGCAACTCGCCAACTCCAACTCGGCCCTTCGCAGCTGGAGAGTTCCGGTGGTTGCCAGGCATCTTCACAGGCCACTGTCGAGCATCTGGGATTGTGGGCGTGTCTTTCTCACAGGTGATGGATTGCGTTGCGAACATCCGACGTTCTTCCGCGGAAAGTCCCGATCCTACTTGGTGCAACATTTAGCAACTGTCATCATAGTGTGCTTTAGTGAGTTCATGACCGAAGTTTGACATCTGCCGGAAATCCCTACCAGACAGTCCTAGTCCATGAGACTTTTTCATTCGTGACGTTAAGGCCAGCGACTGATTGATTGTCCGATCCTTGCAAGCTGCAAATCCACCCTCTCTCTTTTTTTTTTTTTTTGTGTGTGTGTGTGTCATGCTGCATTCTGTATAGGCTTGCGAAAATTTAGACTAGAATAGAAGCACTCAGAGCAGAGGGTTGCATTGCCCGGTCCTCGTCTCTTGTACTCTTTCTGGTACGATGTTTCGCGGCCTGGAGATGCAAGTTGAACTGCGAGAGCAAGTTGGTGCGGGGCTACGGTGGTCGGTAGTTCCAATTGTGATCGAAGGTCGCGCGTGACACTGGCAGCTATGCCTGCTGTGCGCTTGCAGCAGTGCGCTTGCAGCAGCAAGCATCGCCAACAAGTCCATGGGCCAGTGACTTGCTCAGCACTCGTCAGGAATGCGTGTCTGATGCTAATGCCATGTTCCAAAGAGCTGAATCTGGATCAAGGCATCGGGGGTTCTGAAGTGCCAATTTGAATTCCATTCTGAGTTCTGAGGCTGTGTGTCGGCGAGCATCGACAGCCTGCAAAGGTCTCCGAGCTGCTGTCTCTCTTGACGCCTGTGCCTGTGCCCGTAAGTTTTCAAGCCGAGCTCTGGACAAGGACTTGTGTTCAGAGGCTTTTCGTGTTCTGCCGCAGCTTTTTGCATTTGAAGTGCAATCAGCGCTGTAGAACTTTTTGCAGGGAGCATGGCGCCTTTCCCAGAGGCCACATGTTTTTGTCCAGCGCGGCTGTGGATCCCCTCACTTTGGCTCTTAAGTCTTGCCGTTGCCCTTGCACCATACACTTGTTCAGTTGTGCAACCATCAACACAGTAGTTTCAAGAAGTATGATGCTTCTGCATTCGCAGGTGCGGGCACTTCCTGGTGATGTTGTCCGACGGTCTCCAAAGCGACCGACGGAAGTCTTTGACAGCCTTGTTCGATACTTCAATGATCAGCCGGGCTATGACCAGATGGGTGTTGACGTGACGGTCTTGAGCCTCGCGGAGCACGAGTCCTGGCTTGAGGTGGACCTGATGTTCGAGTTCGTCGTGTTCCGCGTCGCGGTGAGGGTTTTCGAAGACGAGGCCGAAGTCCCCACCAGCACTGTGGTCTCTTTCAGGGATCTGCTCAGACAGGACGGGTGCTGCAAGCTTCTGCAGTAATTGTAAACGCTTGCGCGCGCCGCCTCGGCAGCCGGGCCGACAGGGTTTTTGGGAAAGGCCTCAAAAAAAGAAGGGGTCCAAGGCGGGGGGGGTTTCCAGGGGGTCCCATATACCCCCCTGGCATCGGTTTGCAGCTCCTCCAAGCGATGGGGGTTTAGAGGGCGGGGGCGGGGGTGGGGGGGGGTTTTGGCAGGGGGAAGGGTTAATTAGGGGGAAGGAGACCGGATCCGTGTCTGCTTGTTCCTCACGCTTCTCGGCAGTAAGCTGAGGCGAATTAAGCCCCACATGTGAAAGAGGACGAATGACAGTTGAGAACCTCGAGCCCGCACCTTTGCACCTTAATTACAGACTTTGCCTGCATGTGTGACGAGAGGACTCTCTGAGATTCAGCAAGCTGGTTCACCTGATTGAGCACGGGGTCTTGCTGGATGCCGACAGCAAGAGCGACAACAAGAGTGACAGCAAGCCGACACCCTACCTTGATTTTGACGAAGAAGATGACTTGGAGCTGCATGCAGGAGAGGCGATGGAAACGGTGCTGGCGCTGATGACGTCCTGTGTTGAATCACAGAAATCTGCCCCAGATGCTGCACAGATCTTGGCTTTCTGGGCTCACAACAGCCCATGCACTCGGGCCACCATCGCCCAAGCAGCAGCGCAACGGAATGTCGTGCAAGGAGTGAAAGAAGCCTTGACACAGCAGAGCAAGCAGAACGAAGTCCTTCCTCAAGTTTACCCGCTGCTCGCCCGGCCCTCGGTAAAGCACGAATCACTGCACAAAGCATTGCGCGAAGCACTGCGTACCTGTTTTTCACTGATCCGGACAGCTTAGGCAGCTTTGCAACAGAGTGCCTGCATCGCCCCCGAAGATCTTGCAGCTTTGAAGGTAGATGCGATGAAAGGCTCTGAAGCTACGAGCCTGGTTGATCTCGCGAGCATCCCTTTCCTCCTTGGACCGTACCGTCTTGTCACGCAACTCTTTCGATGAATTGCTTTAGCAACCGGGCGCAGAACCCAAGCCCCAAGAGACGGCACTGTGGTGCGGGATTGGACACGATACTTGCACACTACCTGTCTACTTGTATAAGGCGTAATTAAGCCTGCACAAGTGCACTGACAGCCCAAGTCACTAACTCAGGGTTTGGACACAGAACGTGCTAATCGAGACCCCAGAGAAGCCAGAAGCTGGAGCGGACCCGAGATGTGGACACGGTCCCTTTAGTGCCCAAAGACCAAAGAGGTCGTAAAGAGATGGAAGAGATGGGCTCACTGTTCATTGGCAATCGTAGACTATCGTAGACTATATTGTGCTCCGTGCCGTCTCGGGAGCTGTAGTCACAGGCAGGACCAGAAAGCACAGCATATCGATGATGCCGAGTTCTCAAAGGGGTGTGTTAAAGCCTTTAAAGAACCATGCTAGCGCTAACGTGATCTTGTCACCCTAGCCACTACAGCATCCGCTAGCAGAGCCTTTGCACAGGGGTTGAGGTCGAGTTGAGATAGAGATGACAGAGTGTGACACTGAGAGCTGACGCTTTGCGAGCATTGGGAGCAGAACAAAGTCTGAGAAGCTCAGTGTGAGTTGCGACGGAGTGGGAGCGCCCAGAGTAATTTCCCAGAAGCTGCACGCCCACACACTCACACACAGACAGAGACTGCGTGTCGTGTACGCGTGCCTGTGCCTGTGTGTGCATGTGTTGGATGTGTTGGATGTGTTGGATGTGTTGCATGTGTGGATGTGTTGCATGTGTGGACGTGTGTGTACATACCTGTTTGCCCAGGATAAGAAATTGCAGGGGCGCAAATGCATTGCCAATGAAGCTATGCGTGATGGTGGAAGCCAGGTCTGATCAACCTGCTGTACCTTCAAAAGAAAGACAGTGCTGTGACACAATGATCCCCTGAATCCCAAATCTGACGACTCCTTCGAAAGAGGGTGCGAACCTGTCTGAGAGTGTGTGTGTGTGTGTGTGTTGTGCGCGCGTGTGCGCCCTGATGTGACTCCGTTCCGTTACTTGGTGTAGCATTCAAATTGAGCTAAGTACTCAGCAAAGAACGTGGGCGTTTGCCGAGCCGAGAAAGCCTAATTGAGAACTCGAATTGAGAACTCTAATTGAGAACTCAAATTGACACAAGTTCAGGGCGGCTTGGCCCTTGAGAGAACATCTCTGTTCCAAGCCTTGCTCAGACATGAGTTAGAAATGAGTTAGACATGTCACAATGTGTCCTTGCGCAGACTGTGCTACACGCACTTCTCGCGCCTTTTGTGGTCCCAGCCCTGGGCGAATTTTGTGCCTGGGGGGATCGCAACCCACAACTCTTTGGATGTTTCGTTTGGACGCTTGGAATCATCCCAACCCGTCGAAGACAGATAAGAATATATATTAAGAATGCTCGTATAGCAACTCGCTGGGGACGGGCTGGTTCCATCGTTTGGAAGAAGCCGTCAGGCTTTCGATTCATTGCGCGACAGTGAAAGCTCAGAATTTTTTGGCCTTTTTGGCGTCGTGACCACATCTCGCGGACCCGCAATTTACAGCAAACAGATGTAAAAAAGCGGTGTTTTCGAACGAGTACCCGTTGTATGTTTGAACAGGCCCTGCGCCAGCAGCATGCAAGTCCTGCAATCTGATTTCAGTCTGGCACCCCATGGGAAATTCGCCTGAGTGGATGTTGTAGATCATACAGTGTCATGCAGAAGATCGAAGATGTTTAGTTTTCGCGGCAGTGCTGCTTGTGGGTGCCATTGACTTGGCCACAGTGCCTGGAAGTCTCTGGACTCTGGAAGTCTAGTTTCGGCTTGCCTCAGCCCTGCAAGCCCCGTGAAAAACATAGCATCGTCCTGCGCTGAGTTTGGGTCAACTTGACAATTGTTTTGCTGTTGACATCCGTCAAACAGCATCACGCTCTGACGATGGGCCTTCGCAGGAGACCTCTTCGCACTGGTGCGGCCCGCTGCCATCAGCCCGAACTGTTCCTGCGTCGCGGAAGAAAGATACACTCTGATGTGCTCTTTGTGACACTACTCCGCTCAGCTGTGTGACTGTACCCTGCAGAGATCAAGCGTGCCGCAGTGATCCCATAGTGACATGGTGGTGCACATCCGCAGCTGTAAGCAGTCAGCATGTCTTTGATCCTGTCTGCACTTTGCGGCACAGCCTCTTGAAGCAGCCAGTGTAAGGAAAAGCTGTGGCTGTCACCACGATCCTCCCTGCTGTGTGTCGATCCACCCTGGATCAACCTAGGTGAACACTTGCCCTCAATGTGATGCTGACGTCCTGCACGTGTTCTCGCAGGACTCTGCTCAAGACTCTGTTGTGCGCGGGAGCGAGAGTGAGGGACTACCGAGGGAGAGAGAGGACATGGGAAGGTTGAAATTGGGATTCGTGGGAGTGATGCGGGGCTATAGGCGTTGCGGGGTTTTGTGACGGGTCCCTTCTCGACCGATAATATAGGTCCTGCAGGCGGACAAGTGTGGTGGCAGCCGAAGATCGGCTGCAAAACGGGTGTAAAGAGTCGGAGTGGAGTGGAGCGGGAACGGGGCGCGCCTTGGCGCGGGGCTTGCCCCATGCCCCAAAGAAAGAAACTATTTTACTTCGAACATCCCCGCACTCTCTTGCTGGAGATACTTTGGCTTTGGGCACTCCAGCAACATTTTGGGGCTGGGCACTCGAGGGAGACTCTGGGGTTGGGCGGGCACTCCGGAGACACTCTGGGGTTGGGCACTCTAGGGAGACTCTGGGTTGGGCCTCTGGTGGCGGGCACTCCAGGGAGACTCTGGGGTGGGAGACCCTGGGGCTGGGCACTCCGGGGGACACTCTGGGGTTGGGCGCTGCACTCTAGAGTTGGGCACTCCAGGACACTTTGGGGTTGGGCACTCCAGGGATGAGCGAGGAGTAGACCGGGCGAAGAGAAGAGTTCCGGGCGAGGAGAAGAGCTGAGTTTAAAATCTAACAACCCCACATTTCCGGTCAGTCGGGTACACAACAGTGTGCATGTGAGTGAAGAACATGCCGACCGTTCAGTAGGCTCAAAGCCCCGGACAGAGTCGCTGATAGAGGAAAGTTGCAGAAGACCGAGTGCAGGTAGAGGCCTGCAGGAAGCTCAAAAGACAGAAATGGAGAAATAGTGCCACCAACAGCGAAAGAAAGAAGGAGAAGTAAAGAAAAACAAAGAATGAATGAAATAGTGGAAGAATGGAAGAATGAAGGAATGCAGGAATGAAGGAACGAAGGAATGAAGGAATGAAGGAATGAAGGAATGAAGGAATGAAGGAATGAAGGAATGAAGGAATGAAGGAATGAAGGAATGAAGGAATGAAGGAATGAAGGAATGAAGGAATGAAGGAATGAAGGAATGAAGGAATGAAGGAATGAAGGAATGAAGGAATGAAGGAATGAAGGAATGAAGGAATGAAGGAATGAAGGAATGAAGGAATGAAGGAATGAAGGAATGAAGGAATGAAGGAATGAAGGAATGAAGGAATGAAGGAATGAAGGAATGACGGAATGACGGAATGACGGAATGAAGGAATGAAGGAATGAAATGTTCAAAGAGGAAAAGAATGAAAGAACAAGAAGAGAGAAGATGGAAGAAGAGAGTGAGAAGAGAGAGAGCCCTGAGGGTGTTAGCGCGCGGGGTGTCCTGCCCCCAAGCAACGGTGGCGAGCTGAGATTTCAGACCCAAGGCTCCCTTGAGCCATGGCGCCGTCCGCCGGTGCACTGCTTGCGTGGGCTTGCCTCGCCACCGGCCTGCCTTTCTGTGGGGCAGCCTGTCTGGAGCGCCCTTGCCCGCGGGAGACTACAACCTCCTCTGCGCATGGGGAGGCACTGCACCCTGGGCTGGGTGAGGGCGGACACGCTGTGGTGGAGCGAGAGCGCTCACCCCCTCTCGACGGTGCTTGGGTAGACTGCCCAGTACCGCCTGACGATGGCGGAGCTGTGGATGGCAGCGCTCGCCGGGGCGGCCAGCGAGGTCTTCGGCGCGCTCCTGAAGGCGCGCGACCGCGCCTGCTCCTTGCGCGCTCTGCGCCGCGCCCATCGACGTGGGCAGCTGCGAGGCGGACCACGTGGTGCCGGTGCACCAGTCCTTCTTCGGGTGCAGGCCCTGTGCCTGGCACCGCGCCAAGACGTTCCTGAAGTGCTCGCCACGAGCCTGGAGAGCCGGTTGTGCCGCGCCTGCTCCCCGCGGCTGCCCCCGCTCGTATGCGGGCTGGCGAAGTGCAAAATCGAGAAGGTGTGCCAGGGCGTGGACGTGGTGCGCTGCCGCAAGAACGCCCTGGCCAACGCCCCCTTCCCACTGCCCGTCTTCTGCCCAGCATCGGGCAGCGGAGGAGCAGCTGGTGGCAACGGGCGCAGGCCAGCGGATGTGTGGGTACCTGGCTGGGGAGCCCATGGTCCGGCAGCCTTTTGACCTCGCCGGCTGCAGCTTCAGCAAGGGCGGGACGAGGACTATGAAGCGCGCAAGCGCAGCCACCTCAACACAGCCGCAGTCTGCCAGGACACTGAGTCCTGCAGTCTGGGATGGATCGCAGTCGGTTGTGGCGTTTGGTGCAGGGACAGGGTCGCCCCAGCTGTCCGCTACCCCATCGCCCAATGGGCACGCCACGTCCCCTTGCATGGCTGGCCTGCAGACGCAGCCGCAGGCGCACCATGAGCCGGAAGAGGACTGGAGCTTGCGCAGGAGGAGCATGGAGCCAAGCCCCTGCTCCCTGCAGGAGTTCAAGTGCTCGGAAGGCCGGTGGTTGCGTCTGCTGCCTAAGAGACAGCGGCACTGGGTCCGGAACACGGTCACTCGCTTGGACACTCTGGTTGTAGGTCGTGAGGGCCTCGCCCAGTGGGGGTCCAACAACTGGCAAAGCGTCGCTGTGGCAACAACGGAGGCAATGTAGGCAGGACCGTGCGCAACCCCTCCAAGCATAGCCGTACCTGTCCAAGCAGTCAAGGGCGTTGGCGTTCAGCGGCGGCGTCGCCCGGCAGGCGAAGACCACCTTGCAGAAGGAGGCGCGTTCTCGGAGGAGGAGAAGTCCAGTTTGAGGGTCGCCAAGTTCTGCAATGGCCTGCAGGAGAGGGACAGCAGCCTCAACTCGTTTGGTGGTGGTGAAGGCATCGCTGAAGGTGCCATTCCCGACTGGCGCCCCCAGGAGTGAGAAGGCGCCGGAGCCGTTGAAGACGATACCGTCGGAAAAGAGGCGTCTGTCAAAGACACTGTCGATGCTGCAGCCTGAAAGCACACACTTGGCCGGTTCAAGGTGAGGCCAATCTGGCGGGCGGCAGCTGTCAAGCGTCGTAGGCCCTCCCGCCAGATATACATCATCAAGGAAGGCAAAGGTGAGGTCTGGTTGCTGGGTTGCAGCACAAGGGCGAAGAGCAAGGGGCCGAGGGGGTCCCCTTGCTGGCCCCCAGCTTCGGAGCTCAGAACCGCACCTCCTGCCAGGAGGCGTGAATGCTGGCCGTAGCACCATTCAGCCCAGGGCAGGCCTGGGAATCTGCGCCGCACTTCACGTAGCAAGGAGAACCTGTCCGCGGTGTTGAAGGCATTGGTGAAGTCAACCGACAAGAAACATTGCCTTCATTCCCTTGGTTGTGGAGGGCTGTGGGCTCTGGGTACTGCGCTCGCAGCCAAGACAGGGGAAACGGCTTCCGTCGAGACGGATCGCCTGTATCAAGCCCTGGCCATCGCGCTGCAGCGCGAGAATGCCCGCTCCGTCCTGCGGTGGGCGAGTGAGTCGGCTGGAGATGCCGGCCACTTGGTGGACCCCTGAGCGGCCTCTGCACTTGGCTCATCTGCGCCTCCTGGCCTGAGCGAGCGTAGCAACCAAGCTTCCTGCCCTTGGCCAGTTTTGAGGGGAGCGCACGCGCCTCAGTCGCGGCGCCCCCTCTATTTGCACGTGTTAATCCCCACGCCGCCCTGCTCCGCGCTCAGTGTGTATTCTGCGCGTATACAGCATTCCTCTGTGCCGCCCTGCGCCCTCAGACGAAGGGATGCGCAGTATTTCGGTAAAGTGGCCCTCGGCTTGACCGCTGACCCAAGCCCCGAAAGACAAAAAGAAGAGCCCCTTACACAGCACTTCAGAAAGGACGGACCCAAAGCTCAAATCATGGCATCACAATGATATGTCATGAGATATGGTGGCCCTCTGGAAGGCAACGTTCCAACAATAAGTCAGTCAAAAGTTGCCTTTGGCACTTTTTGCATGGTCCTCAACTGAAGGCCTCAGGGTCGCTTTAGTACTAGTACTCTATTGCTGCTCTTACTACTACTACTACTACTACTACTACCACTACTACTATTACTACTAGTACTAGTCCTTAAACCCTAAACCCTAAACCCAAAAACTCTAAAACCCTAAACCCTAAACCCTAAACCCTAAACCCTAAACCCTAACCCTAAACCTGAAACCCTAAACCCTAAACCCTAAACCCTAAACCCTAAACCCTAGGCCCTAAACCCTAAACCCTAGGCCCTAAACCCTAAACCCTAAACCCTGAACCCTAAACTCTAAACCCTAAACCCTAAACCCTAAACCCTATACGGGGGGCAACCGAAGGGGGACAAGGAACCGAACAGTCAACCCCAACCGAAGCCCTGAATTTACCCCTGGGGGCACACTTTTTACGAAACCTTCGACCGCTTTGGTCATGGCTTGAGCCAAATAGATAACGGGTTTTGCAACCCTTTCAATATTACCTTTTTATACAAACTGCAGCTCCGCACTCCCCCTGTCCCAGACATTGCTGGGACACCCTTGGAGGTGCAGATAGCGGGCCAAAAACTGTCCTTCTTGACAGTCGCCCTCTGCTACTTGGATGTCTCAAGAACATCACATCCTTGTTTTGGGCATGCATACCTTGGTTTTACGTCATCCAGGACGAACCTTCAGCACATTGGCCGAATTCGTTTTACCGTTGAGGATCTTTTCACCTCACACGGATAAAGTCTACGTTCCAGTAAACTGTTCTTCACCAAGGGATTCAGCGTCCACCACCCAGCCTTTTTTGACGCAGCGCTTGCAAAGCGTTCTGGCCCTGGGCTGTGAATAACGCAGAACATCACAGTCACTGCTCGCGTGCATACAATTCCCACCCGCCGTTGTATACAGAGTGGCGCTCGTGGGAATAACCGCCACCTGCCTACTCCCCAGCCATTTATACAGCCGCCCAAAAATATACCTGGCCAGTTCCCAGAGCGAGATTATTGCCACCAGATACGCAACGATATCCACATTGTTGATGACCGTTTCAATACCTTGAGCCAGAACCATAACCGTAGATGTGTTGGATGCTCTGCACACTCC